ATAATGATGAAATTTGCCAAGAAAATGGCGTGATAAATATGTTCAAATAAAGATAACAATAAGATAAATATAGAAAAATAGATAATATGAGAAAGAAAAAGAGAAAGAAATAGAAGAGAGTAGAATATTATCGAACTAATTACATAATCTAAATATCATTATAACTAATTTTATCGTGCTACATCTTTTGTTCACGTGTTCTTTTGAAATTATAGTTAATATCGAATCGGTGACAATATTATGATTACAAAAAGTACTTACTTGCTCACTCACTTGTTTGATGATTATACATCACTCACTCTAATATTACATATATTTTATCATTAATATTAATCAAATTAGATTGTGTAGATTAATTAATATATGTTTTTCATACTAATAATAATATAAATTAAATATAATTAATATGAATTATAATTAAAGTAGAATGAAATAATATAAAATAAAAATGAAATAATATAAAATATAATAAAAATAAAATGAAATAATATGAAATAAAAATGAAATATAATAAAAATAAAATGAAATAGTATGAGTAAAATGAAATAAATATGGATATGATTTACAAATCACATGTAAATTAATTATCTAATTAGAATAAACTATAATAAATCATGTGATATGTTAAAATTCATATCACAACTATATATCGGGTACACAAAACTTCAAAAAAAAAAAACGAAACAAAATGTCTGATCCAACTTGTGAAGACGATCTTTGTGAACTTCCAAAAAAGCTTTTTACCTCTAACGGTTCAGCTTCTCCAACAACAAACAATGATAGTTGTACTAGTAGTGGTAACCACGGATTTTCACAACCTCCACCTTATGAACATGTCAACCAAAGGAATCTTTCAGCAACAGCAAAGGATAACATTCCACTAGCTTTGCTTAACGATCCTATTTTATCACAAATAACTTTACAAGATGGAAATGGCAACAATGTCCCAGTTTCGGACATTGTTAATAAAATTATTGGTTTTTATTTTGGTGCTACCTGGTGTCGTCCATGTCAAAAATTTGCTCCTGTAATTATTTTACCGCAATAATTTATATTTCGCTATGCAAACTTTTATATTATTTATCGTTTCAAATTCTATACTTTCAGATTTTATGTTCATTCTTAGACTCCCATAAATCAGATTTCGCTGTCATTTTTGTATCATTGGATCGATCAGAGGCCGTTTTCGAGGACTATGTATGCACTAAACCTTGGCTTAATATACCATACACGCAGGAATCATTACGTCAATCTCTTCGGTCAAAATTGTCTGTTTCCACAATCCCTAACCTAGTAATTTATAATCCTGCTGCTACAAAACAAAAAGTTGTTACCACATGGGGTAAAAGTGCTGTGCTAAAAAATCCCGATCATTGCATAGAGGAATGGAGACGAGGAAATCATGGCATTAGTTGGTTGCAGTTATTCAAAGGAAATGCATCCAGTCTGCCTCTCTGGATTGCTATCACATTGTTTGTCGTTTATTTTTTCAAATAATCTATTCGATTATTGATATATTAATTTTAATCTAGATACTAATAAATTCTTAAAATTAAAATTAATAAATTATATCTTTATATTATTGCCGAAGTACTATCGCTTCTGGCCTGCATCGATTTTCCGGCCTTTTGAATAAAGGATCGAATGAATTTATTGTGAAATCCTAGCAGTCTTCTTTCCATTCACTCATCAGCTTCCCATGATTTTGTGCTCTTCAAGTGGCTAATAATTGTCCCGATGGACTTTTGATATTAAAAAATCTCGTTAAATAATTATTAATTGGATGATGAAAATACAAAATTTTACCTCCTGTTCTGTTCTGGCGAATTTTTTTCGCCATCCTTGAGCTATTTTATGTACGCGATCTGCCATTAAAATAGAAATAATTGAGTTCATTTATTTGCGACCAATTTCTCTCCCTCTATACCTTCATAATCAACTTTTGAGAAGCTTCTTTTCCTGAGAGTGCATCTTGTATTTAACGGTGACTATTTTAAAAAAGATAAAATTATTGTAAAAATAGAAAAAAGATGCATAAAAAAGTTCATTTACTTTTACTTGATTTTCCTTATCGCCATTGTTCTTATTGATGTCACGGATTTCTTTTGGTATAATTGGAGTAAAAGGAAATCGCTTCGTGGGCTGGATTTATATAAAATAGAACTTCGTACTTTCAATGAAAATTTAAACACGGAAAAAGACAAGTTTATTATTATTGATTCACCTCTGTTTTTTCTTTGCTAATAGGTTGAATCAAGCTGACCACTCGTGAATTTTGTGAATTAGAAACAGAATTCCAGTCTCGCTCGGACAATTTACTTGACTATGAATTATAATAAAATGAATGTTAATAAAATTTTTTTTTTTTTTTTTGCATAAAAAGGTTAAAAACCAAACAACACACACCTCGGGTATCTCATTGTTAGGCTCTTGCGTTGTGATCGATCTATTGGTATCAATTTCATTGGAGGTTGTCTTAACGTCAACTTCTTTCGAGGTTTTTTGACTGAAATATTTTGATTTTATTTCTAAATAAAGAAATTATTATTCGGATTAGAAACATATTCCAGGCATGAAAACTTGAAAGACACGCGTTATGATTCCAATTTAATGACCAGTATTATTTTCTTTTCCCGTAAAGAGCTTTGACGTGGCTTCCTTGCTTGATTCAACATTTTTCGTGAAGTGAAATCGTATATCCTGAGAATTGAGAGTCGATAAGACAATATTTAATTATCATTAATAAAGTGCATGTCAAGAATACTTTTTGCGCAAGAATAACTCGTTTCGGATTTTCAATATTCAGCGGCTGCATGGTGAGTGGATTCAAGTAACCTTTTATAATTTCTCGCACAATATTAGGATCAATGTCTCTAATAATAGTAAAGATTACATATTATTTCTGTTTATCATAAATTCAAAAAATTAAACAAAAAAATTTACAATCCAATAAAGTCCATGTTTTTTATATCAACGTTCTCAGGAACAGGCGTAAATGTGACCAGCTGACACGTCTCCATATCAAATACGCGTTGATGCAAGAATGTCATTTCAGCACGAACAAAATTTTCTTCGTAATCCAGCGGGACATAATGTTTTGATTCAAATCGTAAATGTTTGATCACCTATAGATTTAGTTTGGTCAATTGAAATCAAAAAACGTGTTATTTAGAATCGAATATGAAAGTATTCACCTTTTCGGCAGTATTATATTTTTTAATGTACTGATACGCCTTCTTAATGCCTATTCCGTGTATCGAAGGGAGATAATCACAGCCAGACAGAATAGCCATCTGTCGAAAATGTCGATTCGACAACTGGGCCATGCTGTATTCGAATGACGCGGCAAAATAATCACGACTTATTTCCTCACCGTTACCATATTGATCCATTTTAAATATAACCTTTTTTTATCAAGTATTTTATAAAAATACATTTTAACAAAAGATTTTAACAATACAATTTAAATTACACTACATTCTTGCAGCCGAACACCAACAAGTCCGAATCTTCCGTGATGACGGCCGATATATATCCTTTTCGCTCGAGATATGCTAATTGGGCATCTGCTTCATACGGTGCGACAAGATATTCGATATTTTCTGCTCGTAGAGCCTATCATTGACAACTTTAGACATTAAATAAAAGAATTTGGTTGTTGTTTCTTTTTTTAAGAAATATCTAAGTGCATACAAATAATAAAATAAAGCAGAGATTGATACCTTACATTACCTGAATCACCTTAAACACCATCTCTGGCGTGACTTCAATCGCTTTTGCAAAATAATCGCGTGCTTTGCCCTTTAATCCTTTCTCGAGACATACGAAGCCCTTTCGACGGTGTTCTGCTCGTTGTCTACATATTGATTTCATTGTGTTAATAAAAATAACGCAACTATTGTATTTTTATCATCGATCAACATTTGAAATACGTACTCTCGACGTTCTGTTTCAGTTCCCGCTTTTGCAGGCAAATGTCCGCCGTCAAAGACAATGAACGGGACAACTTTATAAAATTTGAGCATGCGGACACGGTGCATGAAAAATTCGATATATCTAATTTTCATATATGTTTAATACGAAGTCAAAGAACAATTGCATCATCAGTTTAATCATAAATATTGAGATGGAAAGTATATGAGAGAAACGGAATAATGACACACTTTGAAGTTGGCTCATTTAACGCTAATTCCATTGCACAAGCATGTGCTCCTTTATGTAACCAGCAATGACCATCAACGCCCACAGTGAACCACGCATATTTATCCACAGAAATATTTGTTTTAATGGGTTTGAGAATTTGAAGAAGACCTTGTATACCCATTTGTTATAGTTTCTTTGCGGAAATCGATACACCGGGCTGCAAATCAAAAAGACAATATTCTTCTAGACACTAAACAAAAGTCAATTCTTGTTGGGATATTTATATTTTTTTGGTGACGTCACGCGTCTTAATTAATTCGTGCTAACCTATTCCTGGAGACAAAGAATACGCCACGCGCTTTTATTTAACATAAGCAGAAATTATTATGGACAAAATCAGTAAAATGAGAATACTGCTACTCTGCTTTACCTATTAAAATTATTAAATTAATAGAAATCAGGAAGTTTCTCAGGAATAATAGGAGGAGTATAAGTAGTAGTAACAGTGACCCGATTCCCAACAACGCCCTGATACTTTGTTCGATGATAGAAAAAAGTAGTTGTGGCAGGATAAGAAGTGGTGGTTGGTGTAGGCAATGGTACAACAGTCTTCGTTTGCGTCGGTAGTGATGCCGGCATAAATAGTAATCCCCAAATCCAAGATAAAGAAATCACCAGCATCCAGTATAGGATAATATAAGTGATTGTAGTGCAATTGAGAATTGATGTGGCTGGTCTTGATTGATTGGGTGTTAGTGCATTTTGTGCTATGCCTGTCTATTATGTATTTGATAATTGTTTGTATTATGATAAGTATGTGATCGTTGTTCTTATGATCAAATAGAGATAAGAAAGATTATATACTTTTTCCACGACACCAGTGATTGTTCCGGCGCGCCAATGATTCGGATATATATAATTTCTAGTCCAAGGTTCACGACCTGTTATTCGTTGTCCGAGTTCCTTTTTTTTAAAAAAATCTAGTTAATGCGCAAATTCTCCAAATTAATCTGAAATACTCCGTTTGTTGTCTCCTCTTACCAAAGGAGAGCCTCGAGGTCTAATAAAATATGCGTAGATCAAATATCCCATACTAAATAACACGAACAGAAAACAGCCGCCTTCAAAAACGAGGTTAGTCACTGGTTCTTGGTCAAAATAGTCATAATGATGTTGAGCAAGGGGAGAATGATAATGACTATTATGGAAATAGGCGCGTTCGTCAAACATGTTTATGGGATTTGGTATTTATTTGAGGGTAGGAATCAAAAATTACAAGAAACGAAATTGTTTATATCAAGATTTTGGCTGACGTCATATTATTGTTTGATTGGTTGATTTTTGCATGAGTTTTAATTGGCTGGCGACGCGTCCATCGTTCGACCAATTGCAAATGCAATCTTTGAATGCCAAGGGACAAAATATTTATTACCTAAAAGTCCGTTCTATTGGTAGTGAGTGAAAATTGAGAATATCATTCTAATTACGCATATTAAAAACTAGAGTAAAAAAATAATGTCATAACTAATATCATTAATACAGAAAGAATTCTGATAGTAAGGTAAATAATTACAATGCACTTGATATTATAAATGCAATATCAAAAATCCACGATTACATAACTAAGAAGTAAGATAAATAAGAAATATACACAAATACAGCAATGATATCCAGTAATGAAATCAAAGACTGACTGTGTAAAGGGGAATGTTCCTGGAATATATAGTTATTAATAATCAAAAAGGATAGAGGATAAGTGAAAAATGAAATATTCAAATAAGTGCCTTTAATAGACGTTCATTTGGCTCTTCGTTCTCTCGATATTGTTTCAAAGCCCGTCTATGAATTGGTCGTTTCTTCGCGAACTGCAGATACTTAAACTCCCACCACTTTGCATCTTTCTCAATCTCCGTTAATTCTCGGGGTTTGTCATATTTTCTCGTATACTTTTCAAGTTCGGTTTCTTCGACCTCCTCAATAAGTTCTACATTATCTTCGCCGACTATTGTCACATATTTAATTTGATTGTCTGAGATTGGATGGTATTCGTGGACTTGTGGGATTTCATTGAAGCGACAATTGAATTTTTGGTAGTCACGGAAACTTTCCTAGTTTAATTGATCAATTGCGTGAGAAAGAATGCTACTCTAGATTAAATTGTATAAATAGAAAGAATGATGAATTATTACGTACTCGACCATATTTCTTCAAGATTCCCGTTGGTGGGAGATCCTCTTCATTCGCGCTAAACTTTACACGTTTCATACGTTTTATGCGTCTCTGTCGCTATAATGTTAACAAATATCGTCAAAGTATTCCATTCTTGTTTCTAATAATACACCTTACAACAACTAACAAGTACCTGCGCCTCATCGATTGCATCTAACCATCTAGTAAATATCTTACGTTGCGTGGAAATTGCTTTTCTTTCACAATAACTATTGCATATCTCCTCGAGCTTTCTATTCTTCATGACGTGACCTTTCCATTTTTCCACGTATTTCTTCCGAAGATACCTTTGACGCGTCGAATCAGGAAAGGCGCCCGGGACGACAGGCATTCTTAGTTCCCATTGTTGTAGTTGTTGAAAGTCTTCATTAATTTCAAAAGAATTATTATTCCACTAAGATTTTCGTTAATGTTAGGTGATGCGGTATCAAAAATGAAATATATAAGCAAGAATAATAACTACGAGGTTTTTATTACCTCGGTAAAATAGTTTTTTATTCCATAATACAAGTCTTTGAACTTGTCAAGAGTGTTCTCTCTTAATAATTGTGCATTTATAGGTGAGTATCTTAATAATCTTTGCGTTCGAGTTTCACGGACTGGTGGCATTTTATAGAAAACTGATATATATTCAGTGCTTTTTTTTTGTCCAAACTTAATTCGTGCTAAACTTCGGTTAATCCAGAATTCGGTTTATTTGACTAATCATTAAGATTATCTTATAAAAAGATCGTTATCTTTCGGGCTTATCTGTTATCTTTTATGCTGTGTATATCTGCAACTACTTTTATTGAGGCAATTTATATCGAATGATCACTGATAATGCACTGATAAAATATAGCACTACTGAACAAAAAATATCTGAATTCATTCGCTTCTACCGCCGTTATTACATTTTCATAATGTCAAATTTTCATGCACCAATCATGCGTTCTCTTACCAATAGGCAGCCTGTGCATTCAGCTTCTTATACGATACTCCCTGAACCTTTCCAATCGGTGGTAGTAATTAGTTCTACGCAGCACCAACAAGCTCAGCAACGAGTCAGTCAGATAGACCAAGAAGTTCGAAGTGCAGGAGGTAAAAAATGGCTTCTAATTTTCTCAGTTTCTCATTTACGACGATTAATTAAAAAAAGAGGTTTATTCAACTTCTACATTAAACACTTCCAAAGTTAAAATTTGCTTGATTGAGGATGGTCTATCAGAGGAAGAAAAACAACGTTATCCCACAATAATGGGAGAGTTGACACCATACTATGCGAAAATAAATCGACTTGTACCCTTTTACTATTTGATCTCAAAAAATAGTGATAAAGCCGCGCGTGACATGTTGACGATGGTAATAAATATTTATTCACATTATAATTATTATTATCATTTTTTTTTGATGGCGCATCAAAGCTCCTTGTTCTTGTTTCTTTCAAATCTCTCTATTGTATTATTATTGTTATTCCGTTTTTCCATTCACCACCCGAAAACCCAAACTGTGTTTGTTATATGTTACAACGACTATATACTATATAAATATAGAAATATATTATCCAACAACAATTCATAGCACTGCCTGAAGAGAAATACATCATAACGTTAGATGCGCTTCAAGAACATAAAGGTCTCCTGGTAGAATTATCAAAATATGAGAATCAGATTCAAAAACTGACAACTTCAGGTGGATACGCTGCATGCCAAATTTTATTCCATTCTAAGAAAACAAAAAAATCTGAAAAAGATGTGGGATTACAACAGCAACAGCAACAGCAACAACAGCAACAGCAACAGCAACAGCAACAACAACAGCAACAACAATCATCACCACAATTATCACATCCACCACATCAACAGCGACGTCCATTGATCCCGAATGGCGGTGGTAATCCTTTCACATCATCATCATCATCATCTTCTTCTTCTTCTTCAAATCATCTCGATACACGATTACATAAGGCTTCAACACCTCCATTACCTCCATTATCTGCTGGCGTATCAACACTGGCTAAATTTCTCTCGCTAGTGGAAAATTATGATCCTCTAGAAGATACGCCAAATCGAGCGGGTGATTTACTTATATCCACAAAGAAAAACATTAATCACCATAACAATCATCATCAGCATGATCATAATAATCACAATCATCAAAGTGAAATTAATGGATGGCAACCCTTTCATCAAAGTGACTCAACAAACCATTATAAAAAGAACACTGTAAATGGTAGTAGTACACGACGAAGAGAAGACTCCATTAATAATCATCATCATAATAACGTAAATATTCATCATGATGGAAGTTTATTGACGCGTCTAGAGTCAATCACATCATCATCATCATCATCGAATAATAATTCTACTGAGATCTCGAGGCTTAGACGTGATTTATTGATTGCACCTTACCGCCACCATTCTGAAACTACGAGACCGCATGGAGACCCTGGAAGGCAATAAATAATATATTGCAAAGGATTTCATATTGCTCTTGTTCTTATTTATCGTTTGATTCAATAAAAAAATTAATTTTTATTTTACGGTAAACAAAAATCATAAACGGTAGTTATTTAATTTTATGATCAATCAATATTAAAATATTAATATTTTTGTTTAATAATCAGATTATTGTTTTCAATGCAGCTTAATCATCTCTTGCAGAAATAGTGAAGGAAGGGTCGACAATTGGTTTGTAAATCCCAGTATTATAATATGTAGAATATCAACAATTAAATAAAATTATTCTATTATCGAAAAATGTATTGTATTATTATACTACGAAGGAATAAATATTATCAAGTACATATTTGGTGTTTTATTTTTTATTATTATTGATTTTGTTATAAATGCAATGGTGTGAATTTAACATTTTTATCACGACTTAATCAGTTGACAACATATCACTAATTGATTAATCATCCGATTTAACGAATCACTCAATAATTCAATCTGTTCAATTTTAGTAATGCTTGCAATTTGCAAAGCCATTTGGTCGAAATCATTAGTATTCAAGTGCAAAATATTGATCTTTTTGATTAATCTGGATCTAGATAGCATAGTAAATTCCGACAAAAACTTCAGGACGAGCTAATACACTCAAACCTCGTTATAGTGAAGACATCGGGTAAGGGAAAAAAATCTTCACTATAGCTTATATCGAGAGAATATCATATATCTTCACTACGTATATCGAATTTAATGATTCTCTATTGATGTTGTGCAACAATCCAACTTATTACGTAATCGTTTATGTATTAAAAAAGAATAAATTGAATACGTGATTTTTTCAATATTTATATGCTTTTACTCTGTTTGCAGTGCAAATGGATTCACATAAATTTACGCGTCTTGCTCACTGTCTTGTCGCATACAACAACACTATACATGTTTGGCGGAGAACCTTCCTGGGAAGCGTAGCGCCAACTAACTGGTTTCATTCCGTAAAACTTCCTATCTTAGATACGAATGCCATTGAATGGATCCCAATGAACACTGATAATTCGATTTCCGTGATCGATCCAGCATGTGTAGTTAAACCAACTTTAGGATATATGTTAGTTATTGGGTGGGGTTCATTATGATGCCAACTCTGGAAATCCTGGATTTCAAACTTACAACTTCAAACGGATATACGGAAAAGTAGGAAGCAAGATTTACCCGAAGAATTTAATTATTTCCTGTACAGACCTCGAGCGGTGATTTGAAACCAAACATTGTATTTCTTTGGGTGGGAGACATTCTCGCCTCATAATTCTTCAACTGGTGTTTATCAATTAAATATGACTGGAACCTTGGAAGTGGACTAGAATTGCTCACAACATATGTCATTGATAGTGAAATGATTTTTTTTAGTTAACTAAATATGAAATTTATATATATTAGACCACTGTTATATCAACAAATAGCGCAGGTCTTGTAGTATCAAAAGAGTATCAAAAGGAAACGCGTGGTACAATGGGCTCCCAGTTGTCACAAGCTATATCTATAATCCAATAAATCAATTTATATGTCACCTTATCAATTTCAAATCTCGACAAAGGATGCAGCAATTGGTATGATAAACAATAAATTTTATATCTCAATCTTAGATGATAACACTGACAATTATGAACAGCAAGTGCAAGTGGTCGAACTGGATTTGGAAACAATGAAGATTGGAGGACTCGTCAATACAACGCCGCTTTCTAAATCTACATGTAACAGAATACATAGTGCTGCTATTCAGATGTTGTCGTGGTAAGAAGCATTTATCTATTTATTTATTTTCTAACTTAAATTCCTTTCTGATTTTCTCGGCTTACTCGGATTCATGGAGGTTGGCTGAATAACTCTAATACAACCAACAAAATGATAATATACAATATGACAACTAAAACGTGGACAAATCAAGTTAATATCGTCACAAACATTCCAATTGGTGGCTTAACCTTAGATCCAGATGAACAATTAATAGCTCCAGATACCACTAATAATTATACTAACAATACCAGCAATGGCACCATCTTCGTCAAAAACACAGAACCGTCAAACAAGCTTTCAACTGGTGTTATTGTTGGGATAGTAGTTGCAGGAGTATTGGTAATATTTACAATCATTTTTGTATTTGCATGTTCTTATTACCGTGTAAGACAAGCAACCTTAGTGTTAAATTCATTTGGAGAATCAAATCATCTTCCAAATCTGATTTTATTTGACCTCCTTGTATTATCGTTATATAAAATTAATGTAATAACATTTTTCAAATTAACTGGCACAAAACATTTGTTGAATAGAGCCAAAAAAAAAGATAATTTCCTTTTGAATAGTTGCGTCTTTGTAATTTACGTTCTTGATGAAAAGCACAGATGAATGCTATTCCTATACTTTTGATTGATACCAAAATTATCAATTTATTACCGGTCCTATTAATGTATACGTATATTACTAACAAGATGGATTATTATAGACGATCAACATTTCCAGGCCTGCTGCACACGTTTCGCCATACTTTTTTTCAGCCTCACGAATAAACGCACGAGGATCATAATACTTTTTGTTTGGTTTATCTGGACCTTCGGGATTTCCGACTTGCGTCTGAAGATACCCTTTTTTAGATTCGTAGAAATTCCTTATACCTTCCCAGTAAACCCACTGAGTATCGGTATCAACATTCATTTTCACAACACCATAACTGACAGCATCACTAATTTCCGTGGTCAATGATCCGGAAACACCAATCATACAGGTTTATCTGTTTTCGCCCCGGTCTTCTCTTTGACATACTCTTGATGCTTCTTTAAAAGAATCGGCGAGAGCTTCACATTTCCTGGTTTATAGACGCCGCGGTAAAAGTTTTTTTAGCACAATGATCAGAATGCAAGACTACAGGACTTTTAATCAAGTAATAATAGTTAATAAGAGGGAAAAATTAAAATGATATAAATAATAAGAAAAAGATACATACATCCCACACTCTTTAGCAACACGACGGACATGATAAGCTGCTGAGATAGCACCAACAATAGAAGCATGTTGTCCTTCATTGCTCAAACCTTTACCAGCATAAAACTGGGAACCACCTTGCGTCAGTGTTGTACATTTTGGATGTCCAAGCACTTTTTCGACTGTCCAAATGTCCAAGTGTCCAAACTCTTGTACTATTAAAAAATTAAATAAAAAATATATGATTATATACGACGAGAAATTCTAAGCATTTTTAATTAGTTAAAATTTTGAAGCTGTCCCGTGACAACACTGCGAGAGCTGAATGATAAGCGGTGCCTTAATATCCCGAGCTGCTTCCAGTGCAGCATTAATAGCGGGATAGCAAAACTATGTTCATGTGCGTATTGAAACAATTTACGTTCATTGTCGCCGGTAATAACACAATGTCGAGTAAACCCATTATTGTATTTTTTTTTGTTTAATGTAGAAACAGAAGTTTCTCAAGTATATGTGATATCATAAGTCACATATATATATATATATATTTCGAACTATTATTGATACATGTACAATGAATGAGGTGATGCTACAATAAATACATTGAATTGTTAAAAACTACAAATAATATCGTATATCCGTATGAACCTTTTCAAAATTGTATATTTGTTCCTGGCAATGATGATCTTGATGCAAGTGAACCCCATAGGGTTCTGATTCTTTGGAGCAATGTCGTTTATCCATTGCTGCTAATAATGTGAGAACTGCTTGATCTTGACGATGATTCTTTCGATCGCTTCCTTTTGGCGCTATACAATCCTTTACTAGTGCACATTTATACCAGGCATCTATTAGTGGCTGGGTTTTTCTCGTGTCAAAAACTATCATCGCACCATTACAATTTCTGTAGTTACGGAATCGATATGGTCTCAAATTGAAATATTTAAATGTTCCGGGATGAGTCCATTGTGGTATCCGACCTTTAGACTTTGCAGAAAAAAATCCCTTATGAACACGCGTAATGTTAAGCAGATTCGTTAAAAATTCTTTTTTAAACATCGATCCCGAATCCAACCATGCCACAATGCCCGGAAACTCTTTTGCAACTTCTCTTATGATCCCGGCTTTCCACGCATATTCGCCACGCTTCTTATTAATATTCCAGAAATTGGGATATTTCGTGTAATTGAATCGACGCAGCTCTGTGAAAAACCCTTTGGTGTGTAGATATTTGAGAATAGATCGTTGGTAATTGAGGAGGCCTAGATCGTAAATTATTATTTGTGGGACAAGAGATTCATTGTTGAGCTCGTGTAGGGTATTTTGTGCATTATAGATCCAACTCTGGAGTACGCAGAAGTGATTTTCACTAGCTGCAGTAGCGATTGTGAATGGATAGTTTCTTTGGATTGCGAGATCTACGTATGAATTTCGAGAATCGTCATTTGCTTCTTTTTCTTCTTGAGTTTGATTTCGATCCTCTGTATCAGGATGCTCTGATGTAACAGCCATTATATTGGTAGTGTCTGGTAACGGCAGCGAATGATTGTTGTTGTCGCTTTTGTTAAAACATTGTGATATTTCACACATTTCTTCTAAAAAATTTCATGAAATTTGATTAGAAAAGGTTTGTATTCTATAAATATGCGAATATTTTATGTCTGACAAAACTTTGTACATGTAATTACCTATTGACCTTCTCTCATTCAGAGTACTTTCTCGACTATAGAATTTCGTAGTACACAGTACAAAAACAAATGTGTAAAATAGCAGTGGTATGAGCAAAACTAGTTTTCGTTGAAGTGATGTGTTTGTTGGTATTATTGATATTTTTCTTGCTTTTTTCGGTGTTATTGATGTTATTAGTGTAGAATAGACAGAACGAAGAGTGACCACTTTGTAATTCATTGTGTGATTATAATTCGTTAAAGTGTGACGAAGAGAAGGAAGCGACTGTTTTTATCAAAGTAAAAAAGAATGGTTGTTGTTTTATGTTCTACTTCTACCACTTTTGTTATTATAAGTGCATATATAATAAATTTGCTCTTCAAAGAGTCAAAAGATAAGATAAATAAATTGGTAAATTGTCTTTTTCTTTTTAATATATATTTTTCTGTGTGAATAAATAACGATGATTTTTGGTAGGTGATTTCCATTTTCGGTAAATTTCCAGTGTATTAATTTTTCCGTTTACACAGTTTCACTGTTCATTTAATCCGTAATTTAACACAAATAAGATAACATACAATTGTTATTTGTTATTATATTTATACTGGGAATTAGTTCGTTACTAATTTTTGTTGCTATTAATAATGATCATTATTATTTGTTACCATTTTATCAAACAAATTATAAATGGAAAAACATTAACTTTAAATACTACCGCTAATATGCTAATAGGTTTTTCGATAAAGAATAGACAGAAAAATTGACTGATGTGTACAGAATTCAGTTCGTACCGAAATTGGTATAATTGACACTGAAAATGAATTGTCTTATTCTTGAACAACGACAAAGGTTTGTCATAATTAATTGAGTCTTATTTTGAGATAGAACAGTGAAAAACATAAGCCATCAACTTTTTATGATATATCAAATAAAGTTATAGTGCAACAAAAAATGATACAATAATTCTTGCAAAAGTAATTGGTTTGAGCTTTTTATTTTATTTCAATTTAATAAAATAAATTTGCCATGTATTTAAAATGCCAAAATCTTTGAAAAGTAAAAGCATTTTCACTGACTTTTTCTGCAGAAAATCATAGTATTGTTACAAGTTTGCTTACTAATTGGGGAATTAATTTGCAAACCTGAACAATAATTGGAAAAGGGAATTAAACAATAGGACAAAATAATAAAAGATATATCTAAGTCTATACACATCCCTACAATATATTACCGGAAATTTCAAAAATGAATTTGTCACTTTGGAACCCGATATCTCGGCATCCTGTGATCCCATTCGAACAAAAATATCACCATTAGATTCGTATAGTCGAGACGAATTTAATGGTAATATTTTTGTTCGAATGGGATCACTGAATGTCGAGATATCGGGTTCCAAAGTGACAAATTCATTTTGAAATTTCCGACAATATATTGTAGGGATGTGTATTAATTTTTACTAAAATTGTTATAGTTTAAAAAAAGACAAAAGTGTGAGGGAAATGTGAAAGAGTAAAGTTTAAAGAAAGATATTGTAATAAATAAGAAAAATATTAAAATAAATAATATTTTAAGATTTTTATATTAGTATCAAACATTTTAGAGCTATCAGGCTCTTTTATTTGTTATTACAAAAAGAAATATTATAAGTAAGTTATAACTAATTTTAGTTATAATATAAATTGTTAGTTAACAAATAATAAAAGTATATAATAACTATTAATATTAATTTGAATATAGTAAAAATAATTAAGCTAAAAGATATAATGAATCTAATTAGTAGGAAAAATACTTTGACATGAAGTTATATAATTTTGTTAATCATATAGTATTGTATAATGATCTTTTGTCATAATATTTCATATTATTGGATTATATATATTTCATATCTTATTGGATAAAGATCAAATCATGTGAAGCGAGTGAACAAGTAAACGAACAAGCGAACAAGCAAATAAATGAATAACTAAACGAATGAGTGAATGAATGAGTGAATGAATATTGAACCAATAGAATTTAAGTGATATAGCAAACATGAATTTGTATAGCCTAGAAATTATATCTTGAATTTGTATAAAAGCAACATGTATCGTAGTTATTAGAATTAGATATGAACAAGTCCTTTTAGATAGTAATTCCCAATT